GCCACTAGACAGGTTCAATCCCCACACGCCAACCTGCCCCCCCGAGCAGGCTGCCAGTCCCTGAGGCAGCAGCTGGTAGCTACGTGAGCCCCATGCACTCACCATGCCCTTGCACAACAAGCCCAGCACCTCGACCAGCAGTGTGGTGGCCTTCCCAATGGGCACCAGTGGCTTCGTTATCTCCCTGCGGGGCACAAGAGACCTGGCTGAGCTACCTGCCTCCCAAAGCTCCCCGTAGCAACCCCTGCGGAGGGACACGGCCCTCACCTGAACAGCTCCTCCATGGGGATACCCTCCTCTTGCAGGATGGGGGTGATGAGCTCAGCCAGGTACAGCCAGATGTGCGGGATGTCGATCTCCATGTCCTCCGCGATCTCCAGGATCTCCCGCAGCCTGCAGGGCAGAGGGGGGCCGTTGGGATCCAGCAGCCCCCGTGCTGGGAGGAACCTCAGGAGGTCTCAGTAATGAGCCCTGCTCAAGGCAGGGCTGAATTCAAAGCCAGGCAAATACCATCTCAGGGCCAGGCTGCCCCGGCCCCTCACCCTCTGTAGTACTGCTCCTTGGAGAGCGTGCCCGCCTTCACCAGCTGGCACAGCAGGACCCCCATGTGCTCGCGGGAGATGGTGCTCCTCTCCAGCGTGGACTCGATGCCGTTCTGCACGAAGATGTAGAGCGAGGAGGGGCTGCCCAGCTCCTGCACGCACTGCAGGGCCTCCTGCGGGGAAAAGGGGGGTCAGTACTGCCCCACAGCCAGCCCCGGCTCCCCCCTTCCTCACCCAGGCACTGCCGGCACCCTGTCCAACAGCGCTACCACCCAGGGAAGCGGATGGTGTGTATGGGGGCCATATGATGCTGTGCCTGGCCACCCCCTCCTCTCACCTTCATGTCATTGATGTGCAGGTATTCCTCTATGATCGCCTTGGATTTCTTCTCCAGCTCCTCTTCCGACAGCGCGGGCTTGGGGGATGCTGCAGGAGGTGCTGGCTCTTGCTTAACTGCGAGGAGAGAGCAAGGATCAGGCACTGCCTGGGACAGGCAGAGCCCCAGACTGCAGCCAGACCCCTAGGACACTGCTCCTCCCCAGCTCACTGGTCTCTCGGCTCCTGTCCCGTTCCTCCGTCATGCTAGCAGCCTTGCGCACAGCCTCGTGGCCGCTCTGCTTCTCCCGTTCTCGGCTCCTGTCTTCTGTCTCTTTGCTGAAGCTCCTCTTGGTGAGGGCAGACCTGTTCCTGTCTGCCCGCTCCCCACGGTCAGGACGCTCCAGGCGGTCGCTGCCCTTCTCCGAACGTGACTCCCGGTCCCCTCTGTCGCCAGCCTTCTCTGACCTGTCGCGGCTGGAGCTGCTCCTGGGTGGGAGGAGGATGGACACAGCATGAAGAGCCCATCGCCACCCTCCCTGACCCGACTGAGGAGGTCTGCGAGGCAAGGCTGTCCCACTCCAATCCCAGCCCTTTCCAGGGCCTCTTCTAGCACTTGACCACCCTCAGGGGAAAACACTTTTCCCTGTTTCTCCCCTGTTCCAACTCATGCCCTTTGCCTTTCGCGCTGTCCCTTGGCTTGGCTGAGAAGAGCCTGGCGCCATCCTGCCCACACCTTTCCCCTGCTGCAGACTGTGGCGAGATCCCCCTTTGTTTTCCTCTTCTCCTGAACAAACCCAACTCCAACTCTCCTTGGGAACCTCATGCTCCAGCCTCCACAGGACTCCCTCCAGCCCATCAATGTCCATCTGGTCCCGGGACCCTAGGACCAGACCCAGCACCCAGGTGTGATCCCCCAAGTGCCAAACAGCAGGGAGGAAGCCCAGGGTGGGGTCAGCATTCTTTGCTGCAAGGACTCTCCACCGACTCCAAGACCCCCCAAGGCTCCATCCTGCCACAGGGGATTATTCCAGCCCAGACACCATACATTTGCCTACGTATTGACCGACCACTGTCCGATTCGGCGGGTTCCTCCCTGGGCTGCAGCCCAACACGCCCACACGCCAAGGCAGGGCTGGCCCCTCACCTCTGCACCACACGGCGGGACTCCAGGCTCTCGGCAGGGGTAGACTGCTGGAGCGCTGAGAAGCGGTTCAAGGTGCTTGTGGCTGGTCGCCCTGAATCAGATGCTGGGCGTGAAAAGAGGGGATTCTCAGTTCGGCACCTCCCCAGTACAGGAACCGCCAGGGGAAGGATCCCTGCTCCCACCCCATCCAACAGCACCCAGCCAGCCCCACGCTGCCTACCTGAATCTGCAGGCTTCGCACCAGACCCTCCGCTGCTGCCTTTGCCCCAGCTCAGCCGCCCACCCGGCGCAAAGAGCTGGTTGTTGGAGTCGATGGATCCAGGCTGCAGGTGGAGAGACAGAGTCAGCTCTGAACCCCACACCAAAGCAGGATCCGGGCCAGGCAGACGGCTCAGCTGCCCACACTGCACCCCCAGCCTCACCTTGGTGATCTTCGTTAGCCGGCTGGTGTCGATGGGCCGGTTGCCCTTGCTGATGGGCACCGTGTTCCAGCCATCGTCTGCGACCAGGCTTCCACGCCCACCTGGGCACAAAGAAGACAGACATAAGGCACAGCCCGGCCTCAAGTGGTGCCCAGCGGAAGCAACCCATCCCTGGCAACCTCAGGTGCCCCCAAGCCTGGGCACTCACCGCTGGAGGATGGCCCGGGGGGTCCTCTCCTCTTGTCCTTCGACATGAGCTGCTGCACTTTGATGTGTTCCCGATGTTCCTCCATCTCTGCTTCCTTGTGGATCTGGTCGATGGTTTTGGGGCCCTGGTCTCCTCGCCGCGGCACCCAGCTATTCTGCAGAGGGCAGGGAAGGAGGGAAGAGGGCACTAAGCTGGCTGGAGGACAGAGGCAGAGACACTCCCCCTTCCCCGCCATGCCACTCTCAAAGCCTCAGGCCGGTCTCCTGCCTCGACCATCACAGCTCCCCATGTGCTGTGGCAGCTTTTGGCACAAAAGGGCTCAGTTTCTGGAGCCCCCCTGCATTAAACAGCTGCCAGTTACTGTGTGCCCACTACCACTACCATGCTAACCAAGGGCTGGGGGCTAGCATGGTGTCTCTGGGGCTGGCCACAGCTTACATACCCACCCCTCCCCTCCCGGGGATGCACGGACTGCTGGCACTCAGAGGACACAGGCCAGCAGCTCCATGGGACCAAGCTGGGGACAGAGGACAGTCCCCGGGCAATAGCAGGCCACGCGCCTTACCCGTCTGAGGTCAATCACATCCTGCAGCATGAAACGGATTCGGGATGATGTCTTCTTCTCTTTAATGATCTTCTCCATCTGATTGAAGTACTGGTCCATCCTGGGCTATAGAGGGACAGAGTCACTGTCACATCCCTCCCAAAGGCAAGGGCAGGGCAAGGCAAGGCAAGGCAAGGCAGGGCAAGGGGTACCTTGGCCTTCTCAAAGTCCAAGTCCTTGCCAATGGTGGTAAGCAGGCGGCAAAGGCACTCAAGAGACTCCTCATCATGGTTTTTGAGCAGCTTCACCACGCAGTCGTGCATGATGGCCTCCGTCAACATCTTCAGTTTGAAGAGCTCTCCGATGAACTTGATGTTGCCCAGGGATCGCCGGCGGGCCTTGTCCCGCGCCTCCTCCAGCTCATCCTTCATGCGCGCCTTCTCCTCAGGCTGCAGGGAGGGCACAGCAGGGCAGCTCAGAGCCCAGAGCCGTCCCAAGGACGCCCACGCCAGCCCTCAGCCCCAGCCTCCCACCCCAACTCACAGCACTGGCATCGTCCATCTCCTTCTGCCGCTTCTCAAAGATCTCATCATCGTCCTTGTCCTTCTCAAACTCCTTCTGACAGCGGTTGAGAAGCAGCTTGCGGAAGTTCACAGTCACCGTGGGCTTGTCTGTTGTGGGCACTTTGAGCTGCAGGGAGAGGTATAACCCAGGCAAGGAACATGAGTCGTGTCTCCCCCAAAAGCTGGCCAGCTAAGGCCCAGCCACTGCTCAAACCAGAGAAAAGCCACCCTACACCCTCATGATGCCCTGCTAAGACTCTGGACTTAGTCCTCCATCCACACGCCCCAGTTTCCCCACCCCACACGAAAGGACCTGCACCCTGCCGAGCTCAGCCGAGGCCCCCAAACAAACCCCTGCCAGCTTGGTGGGAGACCCCCCCAGCTTCTGCTCACCCCCATAAGGCAACGGCACATGTTAGCATAGGCAACAGAGAAGTTTGGCTCCGAGATGGCCTTCTCGAAGACAAGGTCGATGACACCCTTGAGCCGCTCCTCCGTGTCGATGGACAACTCCATCACCTGCTTCATCAGCTGCTGGAACATCTGGGGCGTCAGCTTGTTGAGGATGCTGCGGACACGGCGGAGTAGTTCCTGCAAGGACAGCAGGGTCAGCAAGAGCCGGGTATATCCCCCTCTGCCCTCCCACCGCCCACCTACCCCAGCTCCCACCTGCGTCTTGATGTTCTCAGGATCCTCCTCCTCGGAGGCACGCTTGCTGCTGGGTTTCCAGGCCTTCTCGGCCTTGTTCAGCTTGACATCCTCATTGAGGGACACAGTGGCAATGATTTTGCGGGGCTCCTTCCTCTGGCTCTGCTGGGAGCGGCGGGGACCCAACCCTGAGGGCTGACATGGGGAGAAGAAACTCAGCTCTTTGCTCTGGGACCAGCCGGGCCGGCTCCCGGGGCGTCCCCATCCGCCTGCTCAGATCCTCAGCTCCATCACAGACATCAGTGGCCCAGACACAGCGGCTCGAAGGCTTGATCATCACGGAGAGGCGGAGGGGGACAGCGTGGGTGAAGCGAGGAGATACTCACTAGGCCCCGGTTGCCCATGACGGGCCGGCCGAGATTGGCGAAGGAAGGGGTGAAGTCAGGGCTGCAGTTCATGCCGCTGAGGCGGATGGGGTCGAGCGCCCGCAGCGGGGTCTTGTTGGCCTGCGAAGGTACACAGGGCTGAGGATGCCCGGGGGCAGAGGAGTGGGACGGATCC